TAAAGAGAGATTCCTCGCCATTGCACTTATAATATGCCAATATAACATAAAGTAATGTCCCCTAAAATGTAGATCCATTGTATGTGCTTAACCACACTGTATCCCAACAAACAGTACAGTGAGTTAAGTTGCTATTGAGGTACACCAGCACCCAGCACAGTATAATAGGTGAGGAAAGATCCACATAGGAGTGCACCATAACACACATGCATTCTGGTGGACTGCATTATCAAAAGTTCCAGGTCCAGATTTTGGTCTATTGCTGTGCGTTGGCAGCCCAATCTAAACAACACAACCTACTTTAATGCATAAAATCCAACACATTAACATACCTGTGGTAAAGCGCCACAAGGGACCAGAGCCAGGTTTGAATGGGGTGTTAAAGCTATGCATATAACTCTGAACACCGTGTCTTCTAAATACCGAAAACTCAATTACAAACAATGATCACATTAGCATATGCCATTAAACCAACTAGGTTGTATGCACTTGCCTAGGCTGTTAAAAGAGTAATCCGAATCTAATTACATATTACTTTTTTAAAACTACACAAGTTTCCTGTTTGTTCAGGATTTAAGGGAATTACCATAAACGTATCCTACTTATCATTCATCTTACAAGTCAAGGATTAAACTACATATTTGTTTTTAATAAGCAAAAGTCATTGGGTTTTGATCATTGTCACTGTGGCAAAAAACATATATTTAATGTGTCCTTCTGCTTTATTTTTAATATTGCATTCAGAAATCCTAAAATAAAATGACACAATTTCTTTGCATCACAGTACATTTTTTACCTTTAAAATGGCACTGTGAAGGTATTAGCGCTGTACAAATACTTATACTTGTTATTGCATCTTCTACCCACCAGACAGAGGTGGTTGTATCTGGTAGTCAAACAAGTACATAAGTTATTTTATATATTTATTTACAGTATCAGTCTGTTTTCCCCCTATTTCTACAACCATATTTAGGGTATATGTACAGATTATTGTTTAGTCCATTCAAACAAATGTATATATGCTGTTTAGATTAAGTACTACAAATGCTAACCAAAAATATATTTTTTCAAAATGTAGAGATCTGTAGCTAGCTACAAGGCATTTCTACCCAAACAAAGCTACTTATTGAAGAAAATGGAATGACAGCATCTCCACATATCAAATACAAAGTCTTTGAATTCACAGTTAATAAATACATTACACAATATAACTAGGAATCAGAAATATCAGTATAGCATGACCGGGGTAGCTACAGTCAGACACCTGTGCACGTCCCTGGTTTTGAGACCACGCTGTGACTGACTGCCACTGGTCTACACTACTGACTGGGAACCAATCATGAGGATCACATGAGGTTAGTTTATAAACAGCCTTGCTAGCTTCAGCTGTAACTTGCACACAGAGAGGTTCAATAATAGCTAAAACCATCAGGCGTCAGTTGTCACTGTTTACAGTAAACAACAAAAAAATAATAAAAGACATTATAAAAAAATATGATTAAAAATTGTTATATATTTATTTACATTTTTGTCCATTTGCCAGCTTATAGTAGAAAACATGAGCACCAGTGTAAGTTTTAAAACAGCACATGGGAATTTAGATAATAATGCTTCAGGTAACCCCTTACAGCATAATAAAAATTAAAATATTGCTCTATATATTACACTTTTTCTGCTCATGTGCTGTTCAGTGTACAGTCTTGGAACGACTTTCTGCCTAGACAAACTAACTCCCATGCACATGTATGAGAGTTACGTCAACTGGAGCCAGACAATCAAGTGGCAGAAGAGTCTGAACCTGGAAGAACGCGGAGAGAAGTCAGCCGAAGATGAAAGCAACAGTGGCAGAGGGGAGTGCTAACATTGCAGAGCTAGAGGAGATTGTATTGATAGGTAAGACTGCAACAATGTGCCAACATGCTGTGCACGCAAGCACATTATGGCTAAAAGCTTCTGGGGACCATTTTTAACAAGGGTTTACTTCTGCTTTAAGGCTAAATACACAAAGACTGTACACAAAGTACATGCAATGTCTGCTTTGGCCACACTGATAAAGCTCCCCTGGTGGGCCCCCAGCCATTGAAATGCATGCTTAGCTGCATTAAATGCTGCATACAACATTCACCCCATCATGATGTAGCACGGTTCAGTGTTCCACAAACACAGAAGTTTGGCTCAGTACGCCATTTTCTATTTGGCATATGTGAGTGAATCATTTGAAAGACCAGCCAAGCAACTCTTTTAGTGAATGTGTAAATTTAGCTTAACTGCCATATCATACATACTTGTTTCATTAGCCAGTTCTTTTTAAGAACATGTGTGCTTAAAGTGTAATGAACCAACAATATTGGACAATACATCCACAAGCTAGTAAGCATATAGCATGATAATAATGTTGTATAGATAAAGTCATTTATTTTTGACCTATTAGGTTTTGGTAGTTTGCAGTAACTAAAAATATGCATTTTAACATGTGTGTTAGGGCTTGTTCCCATCAACAGCCAAGCTCGACCACACGACTGGTGGTGTGCATGTGCCCCTACAGTGCTGATGTGCTCGATCGAGCCGTTTTTTTATTTGTGAGAATTTTATTGAAATGTCACAAGTGACATTTTATGTTCTATGTGCTCACCGCAGTGCATTGCGGTTGCATCTAACCGTGGTGCGCTTTAAAAAAGTACTGCATGCCGTACTTTTTTAAGCGCACACCACCAGCACATGGTGGTATGGACTGTCCCCATCCACAACAAGGCAAATTGCCTTGTCTTACATTCGGGGTGCTGTGGCAAAAACCATCCAGCGTAGCCTGAATGCAGATGGTGTGAATGAGCTCTTAAAAATGAAAAATGGGTTGCCCAGCGAAATAATTAAAGGGATAAATATTGGGAAAAGTGCATGTTTTGTACATATGTACTGCCTTTTTTTGCCCCAACAAACACTTCTAAGACACAAATAACAATATCAAACCAATTATTATATCAGACCAACATACTGTTATGTGAATGGCCAGCATTAGGCTATACAAATTATACCTTGTCTTTAACACCTATGCTCTATAAAATACTATAAAATGATGCTGAAGTTTTTCAACAAAGAGAAAGCTTACAACTGTGTATCTACTTAATAAATGATAACATGGCAATCCAAATGGAAGCAAGCTCCTTATCTCCAGTTAAATCACCCCCAATCTGCTTAGAGCTGTACACCAGACATAAAAAAATACATAAATGAATGTGGTTTTGTAGTCATGAATACATCCCCAAATGTATTTATATACCTGCAACAAGTGTAGGTACCTTAATTTGACTTGGTATCAGCCCCTTGCAGTTCCTGTACAGCATAGCTGTGATTGGGAAAGGTAGAAGCAGCACCATATGTCAGTCAGTTGTGCTCAAGTGCCAGGAGCATACTAATATGAAGAGAGCAAAATGACAGCAAGTTGAGTTTGCCAGTCTTCTGCTTCTCTTTTCACTGTCCAATCACAGGGTGTGAACTGCAGATCAAATCCATGTATCCTCCTCTGCTAGAGAGGGCTGTGCTGTGTAGCAGAGCTAAGTAAATCTTAGAACTCGATTGAAAGGAATGATAATACATTGGCAGGTAAAGCAGCTCACAAGCATCTATTTGATCTGTGTGTTTAGCTGTTTGTCTGGAGTGCAACCTTAAAGGAGAACTATGGGGTTAAGGCTTTTCCCGATAGTTCTCCTTAGGGTAACGGGAGGACACAAACTAGCATCCTCCCGTCAACCTAGGCTCAGTATACCGCAAGCTGTAGCTCGCGGTATACTGAGAGGGTGCAGTATACCGTGAGCTGCTGCTCGCGGTATACTGAGACGCTGCAGCTGAAGCGGATCCCGACAATTATGCTGGGATCCGCCCAGCTGCGTGACTGACATCTGGCTCTGCCTATCTAGAGGCAGAGCCAGCTGTACCCGCCCCCTCCCCCTTCTGTTCCGCCTGTCATCGCTGGCGGATCGGAGCGGGGACGTGGGAATCCAGCCCCTCCCCTGTCACAGGATCGAGAGGTGAGCGAACGCCGGTATGTGTTCGCTCACCTCCCGATCTACTGAGCCGACCTGTGATAGTCTCATTGTCACAGTTCGGCTAGAACTATGAGGTGAGTGAAAAGCACTCACCTCATAGTTCTCCTTTAAGTGTCTAAAGTGTCCTAATTGACTGGTAGAAGAAACACACATCATTGTGCAAAGGCATGTATGGATGGTTCCAAACTCACTTCCTTCCTGCCTTCAAAGTAGATCTTAATTACTCTAACTCTAGGAAAAAAAACTCCACTGATTCCTGCAATTAGAAACACTAGCATAGTAGGCTCTTTCAGCTGCCCTTAATTCAGCTTTAAACATATCTTAAGCCAAAACATGTTTGTGAAAAATTGTTAAAACCTCTGTTATGTTTTTTGGCTGTTTGTGTCCCTGCTGGGGAGATTTACATTCTCATCCACTGCAACTGAAAGTGAGGAAAAATCCAACATTTTGAGTTCAATCCAATGGGGATAACTGTGCTAGTGATAACTGTCTAAGAGGGGATTTATCTCACTTTGCAATGATTTTCTCTCATTTCCTGTTGTGAAGGGAAGTTTCTCAAATGGGCAGGACCCGGACAGGGGTTTTAACAATTCCCTACTCCATCTTAAAAAAAAAAAGAAAAAGATATACTCCAGGTTGGATATTACGTATGAATATTTTTATCAATGCAATCATAATGAAATGTGCCTTTGCTTGCATGTTTATCAAACCGGAATTCGCAATCTAACTAGATGCATTGCTAGTATTGCTAATGCATTTGCAAATCATTTTTAAAAAGAGAGCTATACAAAATAAATGCAAATAAAATTAATTTCAAAATATAAAATTATTGAAATGTTTATTTATGACTTACCCACTCAACTAAATCGTATGGTCCACTAAACAGTATTACTAATACAGCTTGTGCTCTTTTATCTGCTTTGCTTTCATGCTAGCGGGTTCATACAAAATGCATACCTTTCTCATTTAGGGTGTCTTCTTGTATTCGTCTCACTGCTTCATTGCCATCAGCTTCATTGTTTCCTGCTGTAATGGATGAACTGAATGTTTATTCACTGAACTGCAATGAAATATTTACAACCGTTGCACAATACTGTTTATGCTTTAAATAAATGTAATTGTTGGTGTGTGTTATAGACATAAAACAATACAATAGTGGTATAAACAGCATTTTGCTTTCTTAGTCATGAATTGTTTTGGTAGTATGCACAATATGTAAAAGTATTATTGCACCAAGCATTATTTCATGATTTATCTAGAAACCTAGTGCCCAACTTTTGGCCTTTGCTACTTATGATGCAGCCCTGGGGCTGGTAATTTGAAGGGGACTATAGGTAGCATAAATATGGGAGCATTAGTCTGTGAAGAGGCTATGCTGGCAGCGATCTTTAGCAGTTTTATGCCCTTATTCTCTGTCAATCTCCTAGGGCGGCCTTTCTCAGCCAGAGTTCCATGGTGTGATTCCTGGCCTCCTCAGGGGTGCCCCAAAATGTTGTGGTAGTGGGACTGTGATGTGAAGGGGGAATCAAGATTGAAGGAGGCTTCTGATGTAAAGGGGGACCTCTGATGTGAAAATGGGGGGGGGGGGGGGGCGTTTATTAAGACTAATGTGAAGGGGGCTCCTGAAGTAAAGGGGGAACTTTGATGTGAAAGGGGGGGAGTCTGATATGAAAAATGAGCTTCTGATGTAAAAGGGGGGCTTCTGATGGAAAGGGTGACTCTGATGTGAAAAGGGGGAGATCTTGATTTGAAGAGGGCACTTTGATGTGAAGGGGGAAACCCACTTTTGTGTGTGTTTTTGTGTGTTGCCCCCCTGAAAACTAGGACATTTTAGACTGGGCTGCCTTTAGATTTTTTCCATACGTTGCCGTGACCAAAAGAAGGTTAAGACACTGCTCTAGAGCATATTTCCAGCCTGCAATCACACCTGTTTCATACAAAACACAGAGACCATGATTGGTTCTGATGAAGGAGGCGTGACCTCGGAAACGCGTCAACCAAGAAGGACAGATAGCCGGCTGGCTAAGTCTGTTTTACCTGATCTGTTTATGCCTATTACCTATCTCCCTTTGTGAGTATATTTCCAACTGTTTTCATTTTCTTTTATTAAAAAGTTTTACAAGATGGAGGCACTCTCTGTGTTTTGTATTTCAGTTTTGTGGGGTTTATATTCGCTCAGACCACAGTGGGCTTTTAGGTAGAGGTGATGTTACTGATCTAAAGGGTGCTGAGTGATGTAAAACTCTCACATGGTCAAATTGCAGGAAGATGTCTGTGAAGTCTGTTGGGCCAAGGTAGGTACTGGCCCATCCAACTTACTATGTGAGAATAATCCAGGACAAATTTTTACATTTTCAGTTACGCTAAAGTAATTTTTTTATGACAATGTAACCATTTATGCGTTGAGACTTATTTTTTAACATCTTGGCAATTGGCTCATTAATCGCGCTAGAATATTCTATTTTGGTCCCCAAAATTTACTGAGACAAAAAAGGCTTTCTTGGTAGCTCAGTCTTTGAAGTTCATATTTTCTAGACATTTTTAAGACATAAAAATGAATTTAAAAAAAAACATTTTTTTCTGTCTGACCAGAGGTAGTGTTAAAACAACTGAGTGTACTGCAGATACAAATTGGCAATTATATTGCAACTTGTCTTGTTTATTATAACACTTAAATTATTTTTACCATTGCTACCAAACACTGCAAAGCCTTTTACAACTGGTATAAAGGTTTTGTGTATTTTTTGGAAGGAAACATTATGAAAAAAAGACAAATAAAACAAGCAAAATGGAAAAAGAGCACAAAACAACAATAATTATATGGGGCATTTATTAGGGTTAACTAAGTGTTAATAAGGTAAATAAAGAAAATAAATGTTTAATTACTACTTTTAAAGCTGCTAATTAAAGGACTAGCCATTGATCTGCACACAAGCACTACATCAAAATATGTTATTACTTAACATTTATGGTTGAAGTGTGCAACCACTGTTTGTGGACTTCATTCACACAATATCACTCCTGAAAAATATACAAAGGCCTGGTTGTCAAACTGACAGCCGTGTCTCAAAGATTACACTGCAATGTTGCAGAGAGGGGTGACCGGGCTATACAAAGCATGCCCAATGTCTTTAGACTAAGTTTTTATTTCACAGTCTGGTCTGGTGTTTACATAATTCAGAGTAGGAAAAGCAGTGCTAAAGTATGTACTTAGGGTAGGTATAAGGGGGTATACCTCATATGGTCAAAGTATTTAAGATATTATTAATGCAGCTGAACGGTCAATAGTATATGAAAACACAGGAAGCCAATCTTTTTAGCAGTTTAAAACAATGAAGGATAATTGGCTGTAATGGGTAACTGCACTTGAAATACTGATTGTTGTCTTTAAAAAAAACTATATACAGCTTCCATAAGTCATATTAATCACCAATTTTTGGTAACCACCTCCTTCTAACTTAACACAATTTTGGTGACTACCAACACCAAAGCAGTAAATTTAAACTAGGTCCAATGTATTCAGATGTAGTTTAACCTACCAGTATGCTTTTGGGTTGTGGGATAAACCAAGGCTCCTAGAATCAACATACAAGCTCTATGTCCCAAAATTGAATTTAACCCCAAACCTAACATGTTCTAACCATATGCCCAATTAAGGGAAGAATACAAAGATAACTGTTAGAACAAGTGCACAATTAAACAATGTCCCTTACCTATTATCACGTGCATTCCATGTTTAGCTAAATGTTTTGCTGTATAATATCCTATTCCTCTTGAGCCTCCAGTTACAAAAGCAACTTTTCCATCTTGTCCAGGGAGATCTACAAGAAAAATAAGTAAGAGAAAACATTTATAACCAATTTACAATTTAGTAGAGTAAGTCAATAAAGTATGTACCCATTTGGCACTGTACAAGTCCTGCTTTGTGAGCAGACTAACAAGTTAACAGTACACCAGCCAGCATGCTATAATGTGCGCTGGTGTGTGTTGTGTAGGGGTGGTGTAATGTGTTGTTACACAGTGTTTACTTTTTACTTTTATTAACTTCTTCGAAGTGTCACAACATGGCACTTCATTCAACCTTACGCACCACAGCTCATTCCGACACACACACTTTATTTTTTACAACACTCCCAGGTGTGATGGAACTAAACTTCAGCATTGGCAGTTTCCAAAAGCTGGGCACACACCTTACAACCATCGCAAGACTTCTGTCTTGCGATGGTTGTAAGGTAATTTAAAAAACGTACGATCTGCCTTGGACAGGCAGATCGTACTTACGATGATCGCAAGCCACGCCCCCCGAGGGGCGGGCTTACCGATGACCGCAATGCCGAACGGGCAGTGTGCCCGGCCCGTCCGGCTTTTATCTTACGAACATGCTACACACCCGTCGAACATCATACGATGCTCGGCGGGTTTTCGAACATGTTCATAAGTTAAAAGTCGTGCAACCTTACAGTAGTAGAGGTCGCACGGCTTCCACACACCTTACGATAGTCGTACGATCGCGGGATTTCCCGCGATTATCGTACGATTATCGTAAGGTGTGTGGGCACACTAAGACATGCAATGGCCAAAGTAAGTATGGTTATGGTGCAACTGAAACAGCTGTGGGAACCTTATCATTCTGTATTCATTGTTGTGAACAATCATAATGTCTGAAAACTTGGACCGCTTATGAGTATGCCCAATTCCAATTATCCTGATTTTTGCTTAGCTGTGTGCAGTCTCATTGTAACATTCTGTTCACAGCTTGCTGTTCACTAAAAGCTGAAATATCTAGTGAAATATCATGTTCCATTATTTCTTTAACTTCATTAATACTATTCACTAATCATAACTCGCATAGAACTCCATTTCATGGACAGTACTGATATTTTACAGTACTTTTATTCTTCTTTTACAGCTCTATTTCTATGATCTATTCCTCCCTGCTGCTTTTCTGATTTTATTGCTGCTTTTTGTTGGCCTGCTCCTCCCTGCTGCTTTTGCCTTTACTCCCATGGAACTGTGACCTAGCCTTTCCTGCTGGTTTCCTCTTAATGAAGCTTCTTTTCTCTGACCTATTCCTCTTTGCTGAAATATATATATAACACTCAGTAAAAAGTGAAAAACCACCCCCCAAAATCAGCATAGAAGACATAGAAGAAAAAGAACCACATATGTGTAGGAGGAATTTAAGACTGCATGTTGAAGTGGTGAGGTGTGCAACTTTGCCCAAAAGGATCAAGATTAGTAATTAGTAATGTTGTTCATAGGATAGAAATTAAGAGAAAACCACTCTAACAGAGACACAATCATTAATAAAACACTTTAATTGGTGTATGACCCCCCTGGAGAGTTCTCCCTATGTCATGCCACAATGATAATGTTGTCCCATGGACAGGAAGCGAGGGAAAATTACTAAAAGGGACTGTGACGGACTGCACCACCGATTATGACCCACCGATTATGGCCCAGCAAGAGAACTGGAGATTTTGACAGTGACTGTTGCCCTCTGGGAAATATATGTTTTAAAATGGTGGAGGACAAGGATTTGGCCACATGGTTTGTCTAGTCAAATTGGAGACTTAAGTTAAGTCAGTTGTATATAAGTTGCATAGCTCCCCCCCCCCTCCCCCCCCCCACCTGTTATCTGATGCTCACCCTATTGTACTGTTTGATTGTGTATGTAAATGTCTGATTCACTGTGTAATCTGTTATCTGTGCTTGTCATGAGGGGGAGGGGTTGTATCCCTCCCAGTGTCTCTAAAGTGAATGTCCTGTGTTTAATAAAGGAGTTGCTCTTTCTATGTTGAAGCGTCAACATGAGTTTTGCCTCGTGATTGGGGGTTAGGGGCTGGTTACTGCGAATCTGCTGGCTGAGTGGGGTTTGGCAGGCAGGAGACGCTCTTTGGCGGAGATACCCAGTCGGGGTACCCGGGGTCCGTCACAGGGACACAGACAAAAAAAATCTCACTGATGATCTGTTGCCTTTTCTATCCAAAACCAAGAAAACTGGAGTTGGCTAGTGTTACAATTTAGTATCTAGAACAAAAATGTAATCTCTATATTGTTAATTAAGGGATACAGGATTCACTTAAAATATAATTAAACTCTAATTTTGTTTGGGGGGGGGTTGCATATTTCTATTGTAGCAAGCAGTAGATATATGCAAAAACATTTTTTTAAAAAGTTACCAAAAATGCTTGCTCCCATCTGAAGATCTGGAGCATTTCAAGCAGCCGGGCATGATGATGGGGTGGGCACATGCGCAGTAGAGATCTTCGGCGAGGAGAAAAGTGTAAGTCAATGTAAGCAGCCAGGAGCGTGCACGTCGGACAGATACCATGGGACACAGAAGACACAGCAGTCAGCGCTGGATCAGAGACCAGCACCAGTGCTGGAGGGATTGCTGAATACAAGTGGAAGGAAGAAGATGATTGAATCAAGAGCAATCATTTAAGGTAGGTCCTTAAAACAGCATGGTGGGGAGGGGAGGAAAGGATATGTGATTTTAATGTCACTTTAATCTTAGACTATACTGCCACCTACAGGAGGATTTGGACTTTCCTTCCCACTGCCAGCATGCTCCCTTTTTTGCTAGTGTCCTAAAAGGATGGATGTTTTTCTCTGTTGAGAAATCTTTACCCCCTTTTATAAATATCAATTTCATTTTTTTCATCTACACTCTACTGAATGCTTTCCAGTTTTAGAACTGTGGTACAGCCTTTGGGGTCATCCAGTCTCTGATGAGAAGCGCTACATCATTAGATACTCCCTACTCTGTTTCCACCCTCTTTCCTTCACTGTGGCATAGTTTCTTCCTGCCATTGCTCCAATCTGCAAGATATACCTTCTAACCTCTGGCCATAAACCTCTTCATTTAAGCAGTTGGTTAAGAGTGAACCTAGGTTTTTGTCTGGTTCCAGTGAAATCAGTACAACATGTCACATCCCAAGCTCAAGGGGAACAGTCCCACTGTAACAGTTCTGTCCAGCTCATGAGTCACTAACAGGGGTGGCCTGCGTTGTCCCTAACAGGGGTTGGCCTGCGTTGGTATCAAGAGGCTTGATACCAACAGCCTGGATCATTGTCTTCTACTTGAGTCATCTCTCTCCTCAGGAGACTCCCATGCCTCCATCCGGTCTGGCCCCCCTTGTGCCTTATCCAGGGAAGAGTTCTCTGCAGTTATGCTTTTTTTTTTTAATTTTACATTTTTATTGAAGAATAAAAAAAGAGGAGTACAACACTCATACAAAAACAAGTTTACAATAAGATTTAAATAGAGAGATAGCGCAAATTGGAAATGACCCAATGTCATAATAGGAGACGCTAGTGGCTAAACCAAGATTAAGAGGGTAGAAACAAGCTAATGGGCATTGTATGGAAAATGAAACAAGGTAAATGTAGTGAACCCAAAAAACAAAAACAATGTTAGATTAAATTTAACTAACCACAGTAATAGAATAGTTTAAACCTCTGGTACTAATCAGCGTGTTATAGGATGTAGGTAATACAGTAATTGTGTATGAGATGCATTAGTCCTATTGGCTATTTCACTGTGCAAAAGCCAATAGCAAACTAGCAATTGCACCCGCCCTCTGATGCTGCCAATCAGCAGAGGGGGACCTGAAGTTCTATATCAGGTCCCCTTCTAGTGATTGACAGCAGCAGAGGGAGGGTGCAATATGTATGTATTCAAGCAAAAAAATATGTAAAACACACCTCTAGCTATGCATTCCATTTTCCCAGTCCGCAGCTGCAGAGATCGGGAAATGTCTCAGTGCCTTGATTGTCGCTACAGCAGCCGCGTCATCCCTACATTTTACCTTTGGGGTCACCACAACTTGGCAAATGTTACCAAGGGGTCCCGGCCCTAGAAAGGTTGAGAACCACTGCATTAGAAGAATGGGGAGAAAAAGGTTGCAGGAAGGAAGAAGGAAATAGAATAGCGATTTGGATAAGGATGGAGGGGAGGAGTGGAAGTAAAATGGTAAAGAGTATGAGAGGGTACAAATTGGGCAGGTGTACAGACTGGTAGTGGGTTGCCTATAGGGATGCACAGATACTTTTCGAGTACAAGTGCCGATACTTGGCATTTTCATGAGAACTACCAGGGTTGCAGCAGTTGCAGCTGGGACCTGGCTCTGGCGCTCCACCACTGTCCTGAAATCATTAGTCTGTATTGTTTTAGAAAAACTGTCACATGGCAATAAACAAAAATGTATCAGTACTCGTACTTGTAAGTACTTGGCAAGTACCAGTATTTGTACTCGCAAAACTGGTATCTGTGTATCCCTTTATTTATATTTATAAAAACAAAATCATACATTAAAACAGAGATGTACAAATCGCAGGAGCTCCGTGTGCTCCTTACACATGACAGCCGCCTCCTAATTTTTGAATGTTTCTCTAGTCTAGTCTTGGAGCTCAAAAGTATCGGTACATGTACTCGTACTTGTACCGAGTACTGTAATTGGTATCTGTGCAACCCTAGTTGCCTACATACAAAACTAAGTTAATAAGTAATAAAAATGTAAGTAATATAAACACGCCAGGTAGTATCCTTAGAAAATTCGAGCCAAGCGTCTATGATGGCATAAATCCTGAGAGTTTTGTCTGTATGCTATTAGCCTTTAATATGTACAGTGACATTTTTTAAAAAAATTAAGGACTTCTCCTATAGATGGAATATTTGAAGATCGCCAATATTGTGCCATAAGGAGCCTGGTGGCAAATAAATTGTGTATAATAACAGATCTATGAGTAGCTTGATGTACTGTAGTTCTATTGTATTATTCAGAAAAACAGTTATGGGAAGGGGTTTGGTAAGGAT